CCGCTGGGACACCTTCAGGGAGTGACCTGAGGAAAGGCCTGCTGGGACACCTTCAGGGAGTGACCTGAGGAAAGGCCTGCTGGGACACCTTCAGGGAGTGAGCTGAGGAAAGGCCTGCTGGGACACCTTTAGGGTGTCACTTGAGGAAAGGTCTGCAGGGAGACCATCTGACAGTGACCTGAGGAAAGGCCCGCTGGGACACCTTCAGGGAGTGACCTGAGGAAAGGCCTGCTGGGACAGCTTCAGGGAGTGACCTGAGGAAAGGCCGGCTGGGACAGCTTCAGGGAGTGACCTGAGGAAAGGCCTGCTGGGACAGCTTCAGGGAGTGACCTGAGGAAAGGCCGGCTGGGACAGCTTCAGGGAGTGACCTGAGGAAAGGCCTGCTGGGACAGCTTCAGGGAGTGACCTGAGGAAAGGCCGGCTGGGACAGCTTCAGGGAGTGACCTGAGGAAAGGCCTGCTGGGACACCTTCAGGGAGTGAGCTGAGGAAAGGCCTGCAGAGAGACCTTTAGGGTGTCACTTGAGGAAAGGTCTGCAGGGAGACCATCTGACAGTGACCTGAGGAAAGGCCTGCAGGGACACTTGCACGCAGGGAGGAGCAGCACCCGTGAGGAAGCACGAGGCACCATTACTAAAGAGAAACTCATCAAATCTTGAGCATAAACTACAGCTTGGATGGAGGCTTTATTAGATTTTGCAAAGTGCTGTTTCAAGTGCAGCAGAGAACGTCATGTACACCCACTGAAACAGAATAGTTATAAATAGAAGGTAAAAAAAAAAAACACACAACTAATGTGTTGAGTCCAGATGTAATAAGAAATCATTAAACCTCCGACTTAAAACATACAATTAAATGCCGAAATCGATTTACATGACTTACTCCCCAAAATAAAGCCTGCTGAACCCCTCAACTTGAAAGTGTCAGGATCTAAAATTCTAAATTTAAACACAGATGCAAAATACATGTGAGCGGCCTCTGGAGCAACAACCATAGTGACTGGGGAAGAAAAAATAAATAAACGGATGTTGTTCTGCCTTCCCGAAGGGGTTTAAACGTCAGGACTCATGGTGACGAGGGTGCCCACTGCTTTCCGGAGAAGCCTTCAGCTTTCCGACTCCAAAGACAGGAAGCCAAGCTCTGAGGCAGAGTGGCCCCCTGACAATGGAAACCGCCGAAAGGGTCGCGCTAGATCGGAAGACACCAGCGACACTGAAAAGCGGGCACAGACGGCACAGCGGGGGGATGTTACCTATCCTGCTGTCCATGACGTAGGTCTCGATGATGGCGCTCTTCTTGCAGATGTCATCTGCCATGGATGCGCAGCTCACTTCCAAGTGCTTCACCTGGGGGGGGGCAACAGACACCCAAGGAGCCGTTAGTGCCAACAATCACAACAAGCACACAAGGGAACAAACCTGTACGACCCGCCCACTACCCAGTTCACCATGAAAAGGCCACAGCCACGTCTCACTCAAAGCCATGATGCCGGGCTTCGATATGAGCATGGAAAGTCAAAGAAGGGCTGTCTGACAATGACGGACAGAACATTTTCATGCTCAAGCACCACCCAGTCCCTGCACACCACACTGGCAGATGTTCATGGAATCATCTTCCAACCCTCAAAGTCATCCTCAGTCCAACCACCTGCCTGGTCATTTACTGCAGTGCCTTCTGTTCCCAGATATCTCCTCCTTCGCTTTGATTCCACTGCGATATCATGAAGCATAACAATCCTGCTTTCATAATGTAGAAGGACACACTTTGTGCCGTTTCCTCTACTTGCAGCACACAGAAACTCATACATGTCTTGAGCATGTCTAATAACCACTAAACCTTGAAATACATTGACTCATCTAGATCAATAAAAGATTAATAAGACAAGTCCTAAGCGTTAAGCACAATTAACCTACTTAACTGGGATCCAGCACTGCTAGCCAATACAAACAAAATTTTGGCTTAGACGTCCCCTTACTAGGGATGTATGATTTTCACACGGTAAGGGCCTGCAGGTTTCTGATATTCGTAAATAATCAAATGCAGGTTTCTGACCATCAAGAGTAACCATATGGGGCATGGAGATTCTAGGTAAATCACTCTGTACCAGAAACTAGACACCACGGCCATATGCTAAGAGACGACACTTAAAAAGTCATAAAAATGATGGAGAACAACCTTCTCCTCCAGCATCCATTTCTCCTGCTGCACTTCTGCCAGGCGCTGGAAGAGCTCGCCGACTTCATCGTCTGACAGGTCCGCTGGGCGTTGCGACTGGGGGCTACCGGTGTTCGACTTTGGCGGGCGAGAGAGAGAGAGAGAGAGAGAGAAAGAGAGGATGAGGGAGGTGGTGACAGATGGTTTGATGTGACCAACGCATGGCTATGGTTAGCCAGCTCTCCTACTAGGCCTCCACACTCATTACCGATATCCACTGTCATCTTAGGAAGCACACTCATCCCGGAAAGTCGACCATATCTCGGCTCAGGCCAATAACTCACAGCTAACGCTCTCTAGGGCTGCATGCACGTCTGCGAACACTCCCACGGATCTAAAGCAAGCCGGGCTTTGGAAAGCAAAGGCCTACTAAGCTCCAACTGTAACTATTTACGGAAGTCTTTAAAAATGAAGGTCAAAATGAATGGTGTAAGACAAGCACTCTCCCCGTGAACGATGATGCAAGTGTCTTAAAATTGTTTTTGTGAGACAAGATTGCAGTTATAAATATGCCCTGCTTTTAAAATAATGACTATAACATTACTAATAATAAAATCCTCCTGGAAAATGCAAAAGGGATGCGCTGGAAATCCCATCTTTATAGCTAAATGGTGATAAATCTCAACAGCCTTTGACTAGAATTAAAGTAGCTAAAATACTGAGGAGGCCTGTTATGTAACCAGTTAATGATACATCCCATCTCCCAGCTTACTAGACAGGCAGGATAATGGTTAGTGAGCAGAACGATCCCCTTCATTAAAGGAGACAGCGAGACAGTTGGTAACTTGGTACACAGATTATGTCTCAGCATCACGGGCATGCGGTGTGCATAACCTCACCAACAGCTGAGCTTCAGAAAGGAAGTTGGTATGGCTGCCGACTCTTGGTCCACTTCCCCCCAGAAAACCAGAGAAAGCCCCTCCACCATGCCCAAAACAGACTGTCAGCTGCGACATGCACGTTTGGCCGCAAGTGGCTCCGGGGACATGCGGCGCAGGCCTGCAGCGACGCAGCACTCTACCTTATTGGTGCTCTGTGCTGCGCTCCCCTCCTTCATGGCTTCCCGGTAGCTGAAGGACGAGATGCTGCTGCTGTCACCCGTCTGCTGGGTGCGACTGGGGGAGCTGATCTCAGATAATACCAGCTCCTCCAGGCCTGAAAGCGCACACACAGACACACACAGGTTTATAATTATATCTTTGTGGGGACTCTCCATTAATTTCTTTGGGGAAAACTCTAATCACAACATTACAACCTTAACCCCTACCCAGCCCTAACATTAACCATAAGTAACCAAACAAAATATGAGACACACACACACGCACACAGACAGAAGCGTGCAGTGACACACACATGCAGAGTGCTTAATCACACACAGGTCCTACGGCTACGAGCCACTAAGGCTCTGCCGTCTATTCACACAGATTATTGTCTCAATTTCTACATTTTTAAAAGCTTGGGACAGGAGTAAGAAAAACACATTTTCAAAACATTAAATCTCAAATGTGGGCAAGAAAAAGTCCATTGAAAGTCCATTGAAATTGAGCAAGGCACCAATCGGAGAAAACCATGCACCGGTAATCCGGCAACCAGGCCTATTACCGTGACTACCGCCCACAGACCAATCACGGCTTTGCTTTCATTTCAAGCCAGCCAGTGGGTGACAGTGAACAACAGCACCGCCATGAAGGCGGTAATCAGTGAGCGTCACTTCTCCATGGCAAGAGCCTGCAGAGATTAAGAAGTCGCATGGGGAAGGCCTCTTAAAGGACCCAGCGTGTGAGAACTTCCAGACCAGCGTCTGGATGTATGAGCAAGATAAAGCTTACCTACTTAAAAATGTCTGATTCTTGACTTTCTGTGGAGCAACCATTAAACATTTAAGGGCACCGATAAATTATAGATCCGCCCGAAGAGGGCAGCCCTGACATCAGTGCGCGTCTGAGGAGTGCAAAAATGAGCGTGCATTTCTCCGTGGCGCTATTTCAGAGGGTGGGGGGCATTAAATATTAAGGGGACCGCATTTCACAGGCGATGATGCACTGGGGGGGCCCCCCGGAGAGCGGGCGCTCTTACAGCACCTCACGCAGACACGTCCCAAGCCGGACTGTGCCAGGGACAACAGACACAGGGACGAGGGACCTCGACACGCACCCTGAGGGCTGACGCGGCCCTCAGCACCCAAGCTGACAGACATCATACAGCGCTGACTGCTGCAGAGACATAACTGGACTGCTACCTGGCGCTGGTATATACTGCCTGGCGAGTAGCAGACCTGCTCTTAATGCATTACCAGCAACACTAGCAAGCAAACTGACAGATTCTCCTCCAGATTTTAAAGTGATAAACCTCCCCTCCAAAAAAGCTAATAAAAATGCATGACCATTCATGTGTTTCAGGTGTTTCTGAGATGTTTCCACTGATTTCTGCTGTATGTGACTGCGAGCATTAATGCAAAAGGGTAATTAACCAAACAATACATGCAGTGATTTTGCTTATAAGTATGTGCACATACAACAACCATTACGTTTCTCCTAAGTTAGCATTACTGTGCACATTTTCTTTGAGCAGCTTAGCTTTAATAGTTGCAGAATTGGCTACTTATGCCCATTTTAAACAGCGACTTGCCATTAACCTGCATGCTAATCTCTGAACATCGCCAGCGCATCCCTACACCATCCCTGAACCTGCCGATGAGCCAGCATAATAACTCTGATTGTGCAATTAGTATGACAAAGAAAAAAAAACAAATCAAGTTCAATTCTGCTAAACAGACCTCGGCGGAACAAAAAATAAATTAATTGCAAGAAGTAATTTAGCTGGATCTAATCTCGATTTACGTACTAGAACCATCCCTGCAGCACACGGCCCGCATCCTTCACACAGTAAAATAAGCCACATTAGCATTAGCCTCATTTTCATACGTAATTACGTTTTAAACCGGCGAACTGCGAGCCACTCACTCGAGTGAAAATGCAAAGAGTTTATCTGCATTAAACACTTGCTGTGTGTGCATTTAAGACCTGAGAATGAACTTCTCATTAACATGCACTTTGGAATAAAAATGTTTTTTTTTTTTAAAAAGTTCTTTCCTTTGACGTGCAAATGTCGAGTCCTGCCCCGTTAGGTCTCCATCGCAGCAAAAACGGAAAGTAACAGAGACATGGGGCACAGTGCCTGAACAGAGCGGGGAGCACGTGAACAGCAGCGGGCCCGTCCCCCAGGGGGGGGGGACATGTCCGGCCTCACTGACATCTCAGGGCGTGTTTACTTTACTGTGAATGTTTCCCATCTGTCCTGCGTGGGGCACTGTTAAGTGGGAAGCCCCGATCCGGAGCACACGCACACTGATCGCCGGGACGACTCCCTCGCCTCACCCGTCCTGGTCTTGGTGTTGGTCAGGATCTCCTGCAGCCTCTCCTGGAGCTTGTCGGCCCTCTTCCTCTCCAAGTGCAGCTGCCTCTTCAGGTCCTTCAGCTGTGGGGATAGGGGGGGGAGCCATTAGGGGCTGAGAGACAACATCCAACCACCGACACCAGCACCCTGGGACTCAAACCCACGTTAGCTACAGCACAACACAAAAAAAAAAACCATCTCAGAATAATCTGATCCGACTGAGGCCCTAAAACAGAAAAGCCCTTCATCTCGCTCTCTGATCCAACCTACAGTCGCCCACGTTTTATATTTTTCTCATGTCGCCTCAAACGGCAAAGTGGCCAGCAGAGCATCTTCATACTCACACATGCAGCAAAACTGTTTGTTTACAGTAAACTCTTCCCTTTTCCCTTCATACCCAAATCCCCTCGCTTCCGGCCCATCTGAATACGGAGTGGCCTTACAACCAGCCCATTCAAACTCCAAAGAGATCATCCCTATTGATGAGGAAACCCAAAGGCGGTATTTACATCTCATCTCCCACATTAAATGCTTCATTCCCAAGCTGGATCTTTGTCTCCTGCTTCTGATAACCCAGCATGTTACTGGCACTGAAATTTAAAGGTAAAGATCTAAGGCCTAAGGTTAAGCCCTAAGGAGGCCTGTGTGAGTGACAGTGACCAATAGGGCAAGCTTTCAGCACCCAATCACGAATGGATGGATGGTCGCTGGGTCAAATGGCCACATCAATGAACCTCCTGGGTTCAGTATCAGGCTACTGCAGTAGAGTCTCATTTACGACGTCATGAAAGTGACACGGGGAGCCGTGTCAGCCATCCTCGCCACGGTGACAATGACGGTTTGATACTCACTGCTGAGCTCCCCTTCTTTTCTAGGATCCTCTGTCCATCCACTGTGTCCTTAATCTCCTAAAAAGGAAAAACACAGACATACAAGGAGCTTCTCATTCAAAGGTAACAAAGCCTGCAGCCCCAGTTACAAATAACCTACAAAATGAATGTTAAAACCACCACAGGTCTGCAGCTGTAATGAGATACGACCATCTTAGAAGATTCGCAGACGCAGAACAGATGCACCGGTGCCTTAAAGAAAATATTAATCTAGCTGTCAAATCTGCGCCTTTGCCTGCTCACATAAACAGATTTACATTAATATCTGGTCATGTTTTCCTGCCATGGAGTACATCAGTGTTGCACCAACCGCACAAATCTTTTTCAGAAGGTAGGTAAATGTAAATATTCATTTGAAAGCCTGTGCAATCCAGGCTGCCCTATTTCAGCATCTGTGCCAAGTATGAGGCACTGGTGATAGTGCAGTGTTTGCTTACCATGGTGAAGATACTGATATAAGCCGATGCGAGCCGATTCTAGCTTTTATTCTAACGACCAGTGACGGCCGGTGCCCTCATCTGGTTCAGCTGTGCTCAGTTCCTCTGCGGTGCACCGACCTGTTTGAGCTTCCCAATGGTGGTGCTGTGCTCCTCCCGCTCCACCTCCACGGCCTTCAGCTGCCGCCTCACCTCCTCCACCTCCGCCTCCTTCTCCTGCATGCGGCAAAGAGGAAAGGTAAACCCTGTAATCCAGTGAGTTATTCCAGAGGCTGTGCGAGGACCGGACGTCCCAGTGAGAGCCGGCTATGCAGGGCTTTAGAGACGCCGTGAGCTGCATCAGAAAGCGAGTACTATTGCTACTGCACAAGCCTCAACGTGGAAGGCAAAAAATAACTTCCAGGCACGGCCTGGTGTCCTGCCAGTCTAAGACAGGCCTGAGGTGAGGTGCCTGTTCATCAGCAGGAGCTTGGTGGGCGCTGGTGGATGTCAGTGGGCGCTGGGCTGGCAGAAACGGGCACAGGCTTGTGCGACAGAGGGCAGCAATCACACCCCTGATGGGCCGATCATTCATGCTGTTCCACGGCCCTCTGCTCTCCTTATTTACTTAATCAGTTCAGTGCGATTTTCGATTGCTTGTTCTAATTTCTTTTTTATACACAGGTGAAACAGCTGAGTGAAATTAGTTTTCATTTGCCTGGGCTGCGTTTTTCTCAATGTGGTGCAAATTCAATTTGCTCCGTTACATGTCTTTCTTTCACCCTACTGTACAGTAATCAAGGGAAATTGTTACTTCCCCGGGTATTACAAAGCGTATGGATCGTATAGATCTATACGCATTTTAATGCTTGGCCTGCGTTCCAAAATTAAACTGAAATAGCAGCCGACTTTGCAGTGAATTAAAGTGCGAGTCAGAGGCGAGCTTTCATGCAGGCCGGAAGGCAACGTGCTGCAGGCAGGCCTAAGGTCAGGCCTGCCCTCTTTGTGTCCGTATGAGTGGATTGGGGTTCACCTGCAGCTGTCTTTTTTGCTCCATCTCCAGCGTCCGGATCTGCTCCAGGTGCTCCAAGGTGCTCTTTTCCATAGTCTCCTGCTCACGGCCACAGAGAAAGGAACGGGGAGAGGTGTTCACGGTGGTGCTTTCAAGGACACCCACGGACACAGGGGGGCGCCACTGACATCTCATCTAATGAGGGGCTTCGCCAAGGCAGCCCTTCCTGGGGGAAGCCTAAAATGGCACTGAGAAGAAGTACCCGCGTGGGCAAAGCTCAAACCACTGCCATGTTAACAACCACCGGAGGGCACCTGTGACAGACCTATATCAGAGTTTTTCCACTGCGGCACAGTTGCTTCATTTATTCATGAGCACAATTGAGTTGTGCATCACACTAATTGCTTTTTTTTTATTTCAAACCTGTTCGCAGAATTCATTCCGGCAACATAAACAGCTTTGATGACGGGCATCATGCCAGAAGCATCAATGCCCGTGTTTCACCGACTGTTTCCACTGAGCTTCAGCACAAAGAAACACTGGCATCTAGTGGTGGTTTCTGGAATAAATCCCATTGCTTACTGTGGTGACCCACCAGGACCCTTCATTACTGATGGTGTTCTGCCTGAAGTAACACAAAAGTAAAGCGAAACATAAGAAGAGGATCGTGTCTGAGACGGTGCCTTATCACCTCCGCTTCTTTGAGGCGGCGCTCGAACCAGCCCTTGGCTCCCTCCATGGACTGGATCTGGGCCCTGAGTTCCTCCACCGTGTACTGCAGACTCTCCAGCTCCCGGGTACGAGCCTGCAGCCAGGGAGAGGGGTCGTGGCATGGCATGGCATGGCATGGCATGAGCAGAGCTGGACGAAGGCACTGAGGTGTGTAAGCACATGCCGTCTGCTTCCTGGGCCTCCTCCCTCAATGTTCAGCTGTGCTATACTGCCACCACATCTCCTTTGGACCACATAAAAGTGGGACCCTACAGGATACTTAACGGCCTCTACTGCTGGACTCAGTGTTACACACAAAATTCAAGCTCTATAACTAGTTAAAACCATCTACAATGTATAAAAAAAAAAAAAAAAAATGTAGCTGAATCTGTTCTCCCCCCCCCCCCCCCCCCCCCCCCCCCCCCCCCCCCCCCCCCCCCC